TATATATATATATATATATATATATATATATATATATATATATATATATATATATATATACTATTATTGTTATTATATATTATTAAATAAATATACATTTAGGGGGAGGGGGTTAACAACGATCTTTTAAAAAGATCGTTGCTAGCCCCCCCCCTACCTACCTTTATTCTCCGGAAAAAGTTAAACTTAGGTACCTGTGCTGCAACAAATAATAAGGTGTCTGCTACATAATATTTTTCAATGAAATTTGGCATGCACTTAGAAAAAAGGTTTCTGTACAGGAAAAAATAGATTTAAAAAAGTTATCAACATTCTTTTTATATAAATTTTACATCTGACCAACAACGAATTTTTTCATAAACAGTTACCTTAATGATAGCGGTTGTAACTACTGAAAAAAGCACCACAAAAGTAAGGCCTTACTTTTCAACTTTTTTAAAAATATATAATTTGGTTCAAAACTCTACAAAATAACACATTCTTACAGCACATAAGTACCTATTTTGCTACAAAACATTAGGTGTCTGCTACATAATATTTTGTAATAAAATTTGGCATGCACTTAGAAAATATGTTTATTCACTGGGCCCAATAGATTTGAAAAAGTTATCAACATTCCTTTAATATGAATTATACATCTGATCAAAAACAAAGTTTTTAAGAACCATAAATTTAACGATAGCGGTGGTAATTACAAAAAAGAACAGCACTAAAATAATGTTTAACTATTCTACTTTGCAAAAAATATATATGTTGATATGAAGTTCTATAAAAAAACACAAGAAAATACATTCTTACAACACATACGCCTTGCACGTTTCACTAAAATGGTCGAAGTTTTTCATTACAAGATCGGTGCCGTAAATCGAAAGATACGCACATTCCTAAACCAAGGTTTAAATTTATGTTCTTTTATTGTTTTATCTATCTTTATGCTAATATATATATATATATATATATATATATATATATATATATATATATATATATATATATATATATATATATATATATATATATATATATATATATATATAAAGTTATAAAGATATATATATATATTAAATATATATATAAATATATATATATATAAAATATATATATATATATAATATATATATTTAATATATATATATATGTATATATATAGGTATATAGGTATATATATATATATATATATATATATATATATATATATATATATATATATATATATAAAGATATATAGATATATATATATATATATATATAGATATAGACATTTAGATATATAGGTATATATATATATATATATATATATATATATATATATATATATATATATATATATATATATATATATATATATAAAATATATATATATATACATATATATATATATATATATATATATATATAAATAAATATATGTATATATATACCTATATACATATATATATATATATATATATATATATATATATATATATATATATATATATATATATTTATATATATATATATATATATATATAAATAAATATATGTATATATATACCTATATAAATATATATATATATATATATATATATATATATATAGATATATAGGGTTATTTTTCTCTCTGTCTACTTTTAAAACTTTTAACAGCATCTTTTCGTACAGTAGCATTGATTAAGTTCTGCTTATTGTTAAAAAAAACATTAATTATGATTTTAGAAGCAAAATTAAAACCCCATTTTTTGTGTATATCACAGGTAAAACAAACTGTTGGAAAGTATTTTGATAAAACAAAGCTTGATACGTCTTTGACATTAGCACCTTGTTTAGTTATTAAATCTGAAAGGTTATCTAACACTGCAAAACATCCACATGTAAAATCTTTAAGTGAAAGTGATGGTACTGTAAGACCACCTCTGGAAAGTATTTGTAGATATGGACAAATAATTATATTGCTTGTATCTGTAGCTAGCAAAGGTTTGCAATAATTACATTTGCTTCTTTTGATTAATTTTTTAGCAATGTAACCTGCTATTGTTGTTGCAACTTCTTCTGTTTCAGGTGAGAGAGTTGATTCAGATATCTCGTTTGAGTTTAAATCTAATATTGCCAGTAATTCATTATTAATTAGGTTATTGTGGTTGTTTTTTAGATCTTCATCCCAAAAATTTATATTCTCCTTAATTAAAGACTGACATGCTAAAATAATTTCAGAATGTTGAACTTCTAGTAAGCTAACTAGAAATCTTCCACCACTCATCTGTCGATATTGCGAAAATCTACGCTCTATTGGGTCACTTTGAAGCCGTGAAGTAAGTACATATAAATATCCTTCTTCAATAAGGTCATCTATAAGCATTGCTTGAGAACGCAGAGTTGTGATGAGAGCCGATGATGTTTGTTGTGATAAGGTAAAATATGGAGATTTCTGCCAAAGTTCAATCCAATTAGCTAATTGTCGAAAAAAAGTTGTTTTACCATCATTAAGAATAATCGCATTACCAAGTTTATTTGGGCTAAATCGCTCTTTAGAATTTGAAATAGTCCACCATTTGTGAAAAATTGTAAGAAAACCAGAAATGTCTTTACGTTCTGGAAAATAACTCTTGAAACCTGCAATTGTTGTTTCATCAAAAATTGATAGTGCAAGAGAAACGTTTTGCTTTTTGTTACCAGGGTGAAGACTCTGATATGAAATTTTTGGAGCTTTTCGTAAATTGCCTTGAAGTTTCTCATCTTTAGAATGTAGATGATGAAAATCTCCCCAAGTAATATAACCAGCTGGACAATTATTAGAATCATCTTTTATATTAAATGTAAAGGATGGAAAGACAAATTTTTTACAGTGTAATAAATTATTTTTAACAAGATGAACACTATCATAAAATAAGTATATTTTAGAATTTGGACTATCAGGATGATTAATAGAGAAATTTGATTGATTACCAAATTTGGAACAAAGCAAACTAAATGCACTTACATTCGATTTATGATTATCGGTAACAACACCTCGAATTTTAAAACCAGATAGCGAAAGAGAACTAATAGAATCGAATATTTGATCTGAAAGCCATTTACCACTTATGTTAACTTCAGGTATCGCTTTAATAATGAAAGGAATTGATTTTTTTAAACTAACTATCATAAATGCAACAACTCCTTTGTACAAAGTACCTGTATCATCTGCACCCACATAAATACCACTACAATATTGTGCTTGTTTCTGAAGATAAAATTCATCTACAATTAATATTACATCTTCATGTATTGAACCTTTCTCACGAAGTGTTTTAACAGCCTTAATTGCATCAACTCCACCTTGTTTTATTTTATTTAACAAAGAAATTGAAGGTAATGGAAATGATTCTAGTAAAATTTCATATGCTTGTTTAGATGTATATCTTAATAATAAAGCATGTCTAATCATATCAGCAGAATATTGTGGTTGACCCTTGGCTTTATAGTATGTTCGACTATTTATTTCATCAAGAAGTATATTTCTATTAGAAGAAGCGGTATTTTTTATGTACGCTGCAAGATTTTCTAACATACTCAAACTAGTTAATTTAGAATTACGACCTTTACATAACCATGGAGGAAGTGGAACATTATTACCTTTATATTGCAAAGCTACACATAAGCAATAATCAATTTTTATTGATTCAAGAATTGATGGAAAAAATGTTATAGGATCAAATATTAAATTATAATAAACTACACAATTGAGATGTTTTTTAAATTTGAAACCTTCTAGTGAATGTTTAATACTTAGCATGGTCCATTCAGTAACTTTATCATTTTCAGAAAAAGAACTTAGTTCATCTCCTTGAAAAATACGACTTTTAGGAGGTCTTCTCAAAGCAATAAGCGATGGTAATGTGGAAGGACGTTTTAAGCAATCACTGGAGAAAATTTCAGGAATAGGATCTAGATTCCAATTTAACTTGCATTTTTTACCACGGATGATAAACTTTTTATTAAAATGCTTTTCACACAAAACGGAGTTTGGTGAAGGCACCCAATCAGTACGATTAACAAAATGAACCCAATAATTCAGCAACTGTTGATTTTTTAACGGAAAATGAAAAGAAGCAATTTTTTTATCTTCTAAAGAACTGTTGTATCCAATTTTACAACCATATGCAACACACTTGGTAACCATGATATGATTCAGCTTTTTTTAGTATTTATTAACTTTCTAAAACAGTTATTATTATATATATATATATATATATATATATATATATATATATATATATATATATATGTATATATATATATATATATATATATATATATATAATTTGCAAGTTCTACTTATTATGCAAGTTGCTTTTTATTTTGCATAATATGCAAGTTTAAAATTAATAGTTTTATCATTCAACTTGTTGCCTTTTTTTGTGCGAAAATAGGCCTATTAGAATCGGCCTCTAAAATGTAACATATACGGCCGTATAATATAGTAGGCCATGATTGCTTGTTCTAATAAATATCCAAGTTTTAACTGATAGTTATAAAAAAAATTTTGTTTCAGATATGGCACTTTTAGACATTGCGAAAACTCAAAATTTAGGCATGTTCTACTTAGTTCTTTGAACTTTTCTAATATTTTATTTGTTTAAATTTTAGGATGCTGTATTCCAAAATGATATGTAATACTTAGTAGATCTTTGTTCTACGTCTACACATAACTCAAAACTGATTTTTTGATTACATTAGAATAAGTTGTTGAAAAAATAGGAAACTTTTTTCGTTATTTAAATAAAATAATTTTATTTATTATGATTCAAGTTTTTACATTTGAACTGTTTATTTAAATAGAGATTTTTTTTTTACTAAGTTTGATCTTGTAAAGTATTTTAAAACAAAAATTGATTTTAAAAACATGAAAACTTCATTAAACAATGCCACCGTAATTCGATAATTTTAAACTTTGAGTAAAAAAGTTAGTAAACGGAGTCATAGGCTGCAGTTGTTGTTGTGAAAAAAAAAAAAAAAAGAACTACAGAAAAAATAAATACTATCGAAACTTTTAGTTTTACTTGATAATTCCGTCAGAACAAAACCAAACTTTGCTCGATCAAAATTGTTTATAAAAAATTACATGATAAATCTAAATAATCAGAACCATTTTAAATAATTAAAATAAAGATACTAGTATATTACATGCTTAAAAATTGTTTAAAAACATTAAAACAATACTTGGTTTAAAAACAGCATAAAAACAACATTTGCTTTAAAAACAAAAACAAAAAATTGGCTTTGTGAACATTCGCAAAAATTCATGTAGCAAAAAACATTATGCAGCTTTTAAAATTTGAAGGGATTAAGTAATGAAACCATATTGCATCAAATATTGCAAACCATATTGCAACAAATTAGTTGCAATGAAAAATCATAATGCATTTAAAAAAAAAACTATTCACTAATAATTTAAAAACAGATATTTATATATAACAGATCTGGATTATTAACATAACACTTTATTATATAATCCTAAAACTTAATTCAAGGTGACTATGATGTCATCATAAACTTCTAAAATTCTAACATTGATAACTTTTGAATAATTTATTTTAATTTTTGCTCTGATAAATTAGGCAGTCTCCGGTACAGTTCTTGCAAGATTCTCTGCCATTAACTTGTAGGTCGGCTCATTTAACGTGTTGATTGCACGAACGGTTTTCGGATGACTAGGACCAAATACCTTAAAAATAGTAAAACACTAAGGTTATGTTCTTAAACAAGAGAGCAATAATTTAAAAACAAAATTAATTTTTATAATTCTTTGTTTCTTCCTTAGCAGAATTATCAGAAAATTATTTTTAAAAATAACACGTTTTCTATTCTTGACATAAGCGAAAGATGTTTAGGCCTATGTATATATATATATATATATATATATATATATATATATATATATATATATATATATATATATATATATATATATATATATATATATATATATATATATATATGTATATAAATATGCTATAGTATATATATATATATATATATATATATATATATATATATATATATATATATATATATATATATGTATATAAATATGCTATAGTATATATATATATATATATATATATATATATATATATATATATATATATATATATATATATATATATATGTATATAAATATGCTATAGTATATATATATATATATATATATATATATATATATATATATATATATATATATATATATGTATATAAATATGCTGTAGTATATATATATATATATATATATATATATATATGTATATATATATATATATATATATATGTATATATATATATATATATATATATATATATATATATATATATATATATATATATATATATATTCTTATAAAACATATATATACTCTTAAAACATGTATATACATGTTTTAAATGTATATATATATATATATATATATATATATATATATATATATATATATATATATATATATATATATATATATATATATATATATATATATATATATATATATATATATATATATATATATATATATATATATATATATATATATATATATATATATATATATATATATATATATATATATATATATATATATATTCTTATAAAACATATATATATATTCTTAAAACATGTATATACATGTTTTAAGTATATATATATATATATATAAATTAGTAATAAATTGGTTCCAAAAAATTGATGATAAACACGTTTGTAAATTTTTAGTATTTGACATAAATGATTTTTACCCGTCAATTGATGAAAAAATACTTAATAACGCTATTACTTTCGCCGAACAACATATAATAATAGACAAGCAAAGCAAATCCATTATACGCCATGCAAGAAAATTTTTAAATTTTGACGGTGGCATATCATGGATTAAGAAAAAGCAGGATTGTTTGATGTTACCATGGGAACCTATGATGGCGCGGAAGTTTGCGAACTAGTCAGGACTTTCATTTTAGATCAACTTTCGCAGTTTTACAATAAAAATGATTTCGAGATGACGGGTTAGCTGTTTTTAAGAACAAAAATGGCCATCAAATAGAAAAAATAAAAAAGCATGTCTTTCAAGTTTTTAAACATAACAATCTCAACATCTCTATTAATTGCATTGTTAAAATTCTTAACTACCTTGATTTAACTTTTAATCTTACTCAAAATTCATTCCAACCATACTGCAAGCCTGATAATAAGCTAAGTTATGTACATACTGATTCTAACCATCCACCTAACATAATAAATAATCTTCCAAAAAATATCAAGCTAAAATTGTCCGCCAACTCATCAAGTGAAGTTATTTTCAATAAATCGACACATCTTTATGAAGACGCACTAAAGCAATCGGGATACACTTATAAGTTGATATACAAACCAAGCATAAAAAATGTTCTTAAAAATAAGCACAAACGAAATATAATCTGGTACAAGCCTCCATTTAGTAAAAATGTTACAACCAAAATTGGTCAACCCTTTTTAACCCTAATTGACAAGCATTTTCCTAAAGACCACAATTTACACAAAACATTTAACAGAAACACAATTAAAATTAGCTACTCCTGCATGCCAAACATTAAATCTATCATCAACTCACACAACAAAAATATTTTATATGGTGATGTAAAGTTATCCGAAAAAGCCTGCAATTGTATTAAAAAATCTCTTTGTCCACTGAACAACAATTGCTTGTCTAACAATATCGTTTACCAATCCACTGTAAATAAACCTCAATACAAAGATAAGGTATACATTAGAATAAGCAAAACCTCTTTTAAGCTACGTTTTACATAAAAAAGTAAAAGAACGACACTGAGTTTTCTAAGGAAGTATGGGAATTAAAAGATAACAATTTTACATCTTCAATCAAATGGAATATAATTAAACGCTATAAATCATACAATCCTGCGTCAAAAATTTGTCAGCTTTGTTTAAATGAGAAATTTGAAATATTATTTTACAAAGGAGATAACCTGCTAAATAAAAGAGGCGAATTAGTTTCTAAATGTAGACAAAAAAAAAATTTCTACTTTCATTATTTGATAGTGGAGATTAGTTTTCCATTACCTCTTCTTGTACTAAAACGTCAGAACTCATTCTACCGTAGTTTGTAATTTTTAAACGATTTTTTATATTTTTGATTTTGTACTTCATGGCTGATGATTGCCGATAGGCATGAAACTTTAAGTTCCATTAAAAGTTGTTTTTTCTATATTTAAGTATAAAATGCTCTGTTTTTGAAAAAATATATATTTCTTAAATATTGAACACTCTACAACAATCAAGAGTTTAGTATTTTTAATACTAAATCATACAACAACAACATATATATATATATATATATATATATATATATATATATATATATATATATATATATATATATATATATATATATATATATATATATATATATATATGTATATATATATATATACATAAATATATATATGTATATATATATATATATATATATATATATATATATATATATATACATTGTTATATATATATTATAACAATATATATATATATATATATATATATATATATATTTATATATATATATATATTGTTAACATTTCCAACACGATTCCCCGTCACTTTGGATTAAAAGCATTAAAATTCTGGTTTGAAAAACATAAAAACCTAATACCTAAACGAATTACTACCAATTTCATTCTTTATTTTTAAAAACAATAATTTCCTCTTCAGTAACCAATTATTTCAACAAAATACAGGAGCAGACATGGGCACAGACTTTGCACCAGATTATGCATGTCTTTTGATAGGATTTTTAGAAGAAACTATACTTTTTCCAAAAAATTTACCTAGGTTTTTTTCAAAGTACGAAGTTCAAAATATTGAACAGTTCTACTTTAGATATGTTGATGATGGTTTTAACATAGCCCTAAACATCTTTCTATAGAAAAATTTAAATTGTTGCTCGCTGAATTAAACAAGTCGATTACCTTTACAATTGACAATAGCATTGAATTAATTAAAAAAGAAAATATTTATAATATAATTAATTTTTTAGACATTTTTGTTATTCTTCAGAATAACAAATATATCAAAACTGATATTTACTGATATTTAACTGATTTTATAAAGAAACTAACACTCATGATTATTTAAATTCTAATAATCGTCGTCCTTATCACACCAAAAAGAAAATTCCGTTTAATCTTGCAAAAAGAATAATTGTATTTACATCTGATCATACCACAGAAAAACTGCATTTAGCAGAGCTTAAATTATGGCTGAAAGAATGCAATTACCCGGACAATGTTATTGAAAAAGCATTTCATAATGCAAAATTGCAAGGACCAGCTGAACAAAAGAAAGCTAAAGAAATCTTTCCTTTAGTCACTACATTTTATAGTAATCTAAACTGCCAGCCTATATTAACTAAAACTAATCTTCTATTCAGTCTATCCTCTAGTGAAAAAATACAACAAATTTTTTCTAATATCCTGTAATAGCTTACAAACATGTAATCCTGTAATAGCTTACAAACAACCACCAAATTTATACTGAGACAACTTACTTCTGCTAAATTTAATTCTGTACCATCTAACAATAAATAAGTAGAAATTTTTAAATGTAATGATAATCATTGCAAATTTTGTCTACTTTATATCAGGCTTGGTTGGGAAGCAGGTGAGATCGCACTCGATAATTGACCACGGAAATAGTATTTACTTGCGTAAAACCGGCCAGACTTTTTAGTCGTTTTGAACATTTCAAAAACAAACAAAAAAGCGCAAACATTTTTAGAACATTTCAAAAACAAACAAAAAAGCGCAACAAGATTAACTGGACCGTTGAGAGATAGTTAAAAAAAGAAAACAGCTTTTAATGCAAAAAAACTTTAAACAAAAAAATACGATTAGAGCAAATATTTTTGAAACGTCGTTCTTTTGTTTTTTTTTTATAAAATTAGGCATCATTTTTTATATAAAGTAACAACTTACTATTAATGATTGTTTAATAAGGAAACAAATGTTCTTTAATTTATCAACGAGTATATAATTTTATTTATATACTAATGTCTTATTTCCAGTGCTGGATTGAGGAGGTAGGGGAGAGGGGGATGAGCTAGAAGGGCTATAGCCCCGGGATTCACAATGTTAGAGGCCGCAAAATAGTCAAAAGGACCATTCTGTATTTTTTTAGTCAATTTTACGCAGTGGCACATAATAAATGCCACTAAAATAATGCAGCCCGCGGCCCTGAAAAGTTCAACAAGATTCAACCAGTAAAACTAATGCTAGTAGTCTGGACGCTACGTGTAACTTTTTCTTGGAAATGAAGTGGACATTTAACATTGATATCTTGAATGAGAAAAACTTTACGTGCCTTTCTAAAAGTGCTTAAAGGGTCACATTTCGGCCCTTATTTGGTACTGATGATGTCATCTTGACATTTTTTCAAAAAATCAAACTAAAAAAAAAATATTTTCTTCAAAAGTTAGATAAACTCTTGAGAAAACTTTATAATAAATAACAAAATCTCGAAAAAAACTTACGTATCTTTCTGAAAGTGCTTAAAGTGTTTGTTAAACGTTAGATAATCTCTAGAGAAAACCTTTAGTAAATATTAAAACCTTTAGAAAAACTTACGAGCAATTCTAATAGTGCTTAAAGGGCCAAATTCGGGCCCTTGTTTGGTACTGATGACGTCAC